CAGGGAGAGGAGACCTATTAGATAGAGAGGCTTTTCTTGCAAGCTTGAGCTGCTGTGCATCTCGCAGACCTATTCCAATTATCTGGAGCCGCCCTGGATCCTCGCGTGGATTCCAGCATAGAGGAGCTCCAAAGTCCTTTCCAATTCTGAGAGGCCAGAATCTGGAGTCTGTGCATCTCAGAATCATAACAGCTTGGATGAAGGAAGAAGAGAAAAGAAAACCTCAGAAGCCTAACCCTAGTACAGTGGCCTGATACTGTGTTAATTGCCCAGCACTTACTCCATGTGGTTGATGCACCGAGACCTTAATGTTAATCTCCCTATTAACCATATGAAGGGTAATTCATGCCATACCCATTGCACAGACAAGAAAACAGAGACACAGCATCTCAGGTATCTGCTCATGCTGGCCTAAGTGGTAACATGGCAGAGCTATGTTTTTACCAAAGAGAATGGGACCCATGGGAACCTATGCAGAAGGTAGAATGCAGGAAAGGGGTAAGGTGAGGGAGAAGTGCTCTCATCAGAAAAGCCGCCAAAGCCAATCTCCTCAGCCCCTGTGGATGAGTACTGTCCCCAGACCTACTGAGTCTACTAATCTCCAAGAGACCTTCAGGAGCCACCTAATCCAGCCACTCCACAATGAGAGAAACAAAACAGGAGACTTGCCTGACACCTGCCCCAGGCCTCACTTACATTGAGTGGCAGAATCAAAATTCACATGCTTTCTATGCTTTCTGGCTCTGAGAGCTATGTTTTGAAATTAGTGGCATCATCCAATAAAATCTGAATACTTGTCTCTTTGGCAGAAGTCTCTCCATGGAAGTGTGTGTGTGTGTGTGTGTGTGTGTGTGTGTGTGTGTGTGTGTGGTGTGTTTCCTCAAGTCATCCGTGCCACTTTCATTTGACATTTGTGTTGACATTGTGCAGTCTCTGGGAGGTCTTATAATCCTGCAGTTTAGTGCAACTTGCATACATCCTTAATATATTAGTCACAATCGCTCTCCTATTCTGACCTCTGCTCAAATGCACCCTGGGCACTGTGCCCAGTGTGGTCTTGCTGAGATCCAGTTCACATCTGGAGCTGTGTGACAATCATTGCACAGTTTGTGCTGTAATGAAATCATAGCCCAGTTACCTGATAAGGTGGCTAACAGGAGAAAGAGTGCTAAGAACAAATCCCATTTTTATCCATCCTTAGTCTCTGGGCCACCTTCAATACAAAGCACTGGTTGTTCCATTAGGCATAGGCCCCCAAAAGCTAATTCACTTGCTCAAGACTAAAGGAGATTCTTAAATTCGAAGGTGTTGTGTCCACCTCCCCCTCACCATAAGTCTGCTCCTGACCTCCCTAACCAAGGCACTGCTATTTCTTGTTAGCATTCCTTGCTCTCTAACAAGCAGCCCGTTGGTCTCTGTGAAGCTTATGACAAAACTGGCTATAGCTGTCCTTATTATTAATTCACTAAAGAAGATTAAATGCACTCTAAAAGAAGGCTTGTCCCTAACAAAGCCTAGGGTGCAGGTTCCAGCTTGGAGCCTGGGGTAGGGGGCAGTGGGCAGGTTTGGGCTCCCAGGATGCAAGGGCTATCTCCCTCTCCTGCTGACCTGGCCTGAGTTTGACATATTTGTAAGCTGTTATGCCCAGGTGTTGACAGCCTGGGCCCTGAAGAGCTCCAGGCCAATTAGAACACAGCTCTAGACTTCAAAGGCCTGTCTTGTGCCCAGTTGGCAGAGCTTTTCCAACATGATGTGTTGTGGACTCATTATTAGTCTACACCAACCAATCATCTCATAATTTTCAAGATAGGAGGGTTTGTGGGTTGGCACTGAGATGTGGGCAGTTGCTCAAAGTGACATGATATTGGCAATGAGAAGGTCATGCAGAATGTAAGACTCAGCACTAGGTCTTCCCAAATCTACCCAGAGAGGTTGCATCCTCTCTACAGCTCATTCATGGATACTTCCATGCACATACCCCAGCTTCAGGGAAGTCCCTTGGGCTTTCTTGAGACCAGAGAAGGATGGGTGGTATTTCATTCCTTGTAATTCAGCAATATGCTTATACATTTCCCAGGATTGTCACACTAGGAGTGACAACATTAACTCGGAGTATTGAAATCACAACAGGGGAGCTTGGGGGTAGGCAAGAAAGTCCAGGAAATGCTTAGCCAGTAGAGTGCCAGAGAAAGCCAATACTGTAGGGGGTTTACCAGAAGGTATCTACCCCAACTCTCTGATAAAATGAAGAAACAGAGATGCAGACAGGATAAGTGACTCGCAGCTGAAGAGTGAGATTAAAACCCACACCTCTGCTTCCAGGCCAGCTCTTTCTCCTTCATAAGTGGATGGTTGTCATACAGAAGCCCCACTTCCTCCATATGCACACAAACCTGTTGCTAACCATTACTTATACTAGTCCCTAAGTCACACCCTGGTGGATGTGAAAGATCAGTCACCAGGAACAGGAAACCCCAGCATGACTCTCGAGGCAGCCTGCATTGGTTGGAGAGACAAATAAACACCTGTTAAGTAGCTAAATCCCAAGGAGCAAGCAGTAGCCCCTGCAATATGGTATTTCTCAACTTCATCCAACTCAAAATACCTGGGAAATACACTCCACCCACCCCAGCAGCCAGAGTGGCTCACTCTGAAAGCTACTAAAGAACACATTTCTCCTCGAGGTGTGAGAGACCAAGCTTAGCTTCCAGCCAAGGACTGCCTCCAGTGTGTAGATGTCACTGCTGCTGCTGCTTTGGCCCATTGTACTCTGGTTTGTCAAGAGGGTGAGCCATTCCAAGCAGAATGGAAGAAACCCTACAGGAAGGGAAGCAGGCATCCACAGAAATGGAAGAGATGCCAGGAAGCAGATGGCAGGAGGGAATATTCATGGCACTTCTGGAGCAAGTCAGTAGCCAAGCCTGTGTTCCCAGGGATAATAAATGCAGATATACTAGAAAAGCAACTGCCAGCCTTCCACAGGCTCTAGAAGATGCCAGGATCCCTGACGCCTACTCTAAGTGGGAGACAATAATGGAGGTGGAAAGCTTAAGTCCCTGGGCAGGCTTTATGCATGGGTAATGCTTAATGGTGCATGATGTCTGTCTGGATCACTCTATGGACATGCCTGGAGAGCCAACCAAGGTAAGACCCCACTCCTACCAATTCATGGAAGAATGAATCAGGAAAATCCAGGAGGCTTCTCCAGTGGCCTTGAAGTCCTGAACAAGAACACAAGGTTTGGGGTAGAACAGTCATTTTGCTCTTTTTTATCCAGGTGAACAGGAGCCCTTTGACTGCAAAGTCAATATGTAAAAAAATAAAAACAAAAAAAGAAAGAAAACACACACACACACACACACACACACACACAGAGTGATCATTTTAAATGTACTAAAAGAAGCGGAGCATCAAGGAACCCTGAATAGCTTAATCTTTTTTTTTAATTGTAACAAGAAAAAAATTATGTCAATGTGATGTACAGAGGGAGGGGGTTACAGTTACATAAGTAAGGTAATAAGTACATTCCTTGTCAAACTTGTTACCCCTTCCCTCATTTTTCTCTTACTTTCCTTCTCCCTCCCCTCCCCCATAGCTTAATCTTGAAAAGGAAGAACTTTGGAAGTGACCCTTGGCAGTGATAGGGGACTGGTCCCCAACAGTCTTCTCTCCCTTCGAAAGTATTGGTGGTGGGAGGCATACTCACTGAAAATGTTCCCTCTCCCCTCTCCTCCTTCTATGACCTACCCCATGTTTTGAAATATTCCACCTGCAAAATCAAAATTAATGGATGAAGAACTAATTATCTTCCCTATTTTTATCATCAAAGATCTCCAGTAGCAGCCAAATACCAAGTTGGTATAATTCCAGGTGAAATGCAGTAAGTTAACCTTTTGTTTTCCAATACAGTAATTTCAAACTTAAAGCTTTCTTTTCTTGTTAGGTTTTTCAGGAACCCAGCCTGGAAATACAAAAGCATAATATCCCACAGTTCATCCAGGGGCTGGGCCCAGACAAGACCTAGACACAGAGTCAGCAGGGTCTTGTCTGTATATGAGAAAACGCCATCATGACTATGTTTCAGAAAGCTGACCCAGGCAGTGCCCGTACATGTGTTCTACCATTTTTGCTATGTCCCCATTTTGCTTTAATTTGCTTTTCAGTAGGTATCACAAGCTTTTGTGAAGGCTAGCCCTCAATTATGATTCTTCTACCTCAGCTCCCCAAGTAGCTAGGATTACAGGCTTGAACCACCATACCAGGCCCCTAATGTGTGTTTTATATGTTTGTCATCACCTCCCATTCTTTTTTAATATATATTTTATTGTAAAGATACTGTACAGAGGGGTTACAGTTACATGATCAAGGTAATGAGTCCATTTCCTATCAAGCATTGTTTTCCCCCTACCATCCCTTTCCTCCCCACTTCCCCACCTCCTCCCTTTCCCCCTTTCCCCCCCCCTCCCCACCTCTCAAAGAACACCTCCCATGCTTGTAGAATTAAGATTAATGAAGACTGAAGATTTTGGTCACAGATGCCTTTTGAAATATGTTGTTTTGTTCTTCAAAAGGAACCAGAAATCAGTATGGTGGATCTTTGGAAGATGAAAATTCTCATTCTTTCCCATCAGGTTTTTTTTTTCTATTGCCCTTCCTTGGGTGTTATAAGAAAGGGAAGGGAATAGGAAGCCAGGGAAGCTTCCTTGACCCCACTCCCCCCAAAAACCCGCTCTTGGCAGGCATTCACCAATGAGAATCGTTGAGAAGAGGAAATTCTCTCCAGAGCAAGTTTATCCCTCCATCATGCCTGTAGGTCCTTTTGTACTTCCCACTCCTTTGAACCTACAATCACCACTTTCTCATGGTAAACCCATAGGGCTGCAGTAACCCTAGCCAACAAAAACATCCTGGAGAGAGAGACTGTCCAGAGCAAGAGAGCAGCCTGGATGAGACCAGATCAGGCAGGAAGGGATGCTAAGTAGTCTAGTTTAGTTACTGACCTCTGGGCGTGTCCATGGGGTTGAAGCTGGCCAGCAGATCCCGGCACCACTGGCGGTCACCTTCCTCTTTGCTCAACCAGTTGTTGCAGTTGAAGTAGTAACGAAGATGAGGCCTCTTCATGTCAGTCACGATCACACGGTCCAGATACCAGCTGGCATTCAAACCGGTGTTGTCATGCTCAATCCTGGGGCACAAGCCAACATTCACATTCTTACTGACAGAATGAAGGTGATTCCCCTTCCGTATTGAAATGCCCCAGTTGCTGATCCAGTGAGAGTCTTGATCATTTTGTTGCTTCTTTTACTTTACTACACTTTCCTCAAGTATGTCATGGGATGCTTTACAAGGTAGCTATGCATAGGCACAACTGTTACATTGCCTTCTTGGAAAATACATTCTTTGAGGAAAAAATTCAGGACCCTCAGTGGGACCATGTTGGTCTTTGCCTCACAAGTCCTGCCTGATCAGTGCTATTTCCTAACCTTGGTCTGTGACAGCATTTCTCTCTCTTCCTACTCTGCCCCAAGCTGTACCCACACACCACCTCCTGAAACCCAGCTGAATCAAGGTCAAAAAAGGCAGTTCATCAGGACCTTACTAAAGACAGAGGTGATATGAGATTAATCAGAAAGCAAGAGCTGACTAGACCATCTGACTTGAAGGGCCTGGCTTGTCCCTTAGGCACCATTTCCCTCTCCCACTGCTCTAAATTGGTTAATTCCCTCTCTTCATAACTTCCAGTCACTCCTAACTAGCAGATACTATCCTTAGTCCCTCCATAACTATCTAGACCTATGACTATCTTCTCAAAATGTGCTATGAACTGCAGATACAATTTTAGATTTTTCAATTAGCTGTATTTTTACAGATACAAAGAAACTGGTGGAATTGTTAATATTGTATTGCATTTCATTCCATATAGCATTTCCAATATATGATATTTATTAACAATGCATCACACATTCTTTTCCTTTTTCCTTATACTAACTTTTCGTGTGGTATCTATTTTCTCCATACAGCACATTACAGTATGGATCAGCTGCAATGTAACCACACAAAAGCCATATGTGTCCAGACCTGGCTATATTGAACAGCATAGATCCAGATTCTTTGAATTCTTCCTTCCAGATCATTTCCTACTTCCTTAAGGGCACTCTTTGTCTAATTTTTTCTTCAGCATATAACCACAGGATGATCTATGTACATGGAACCCCTCATCCCAACCCATCATCCCAGGATAACCAGAGCCCAATACAGCACATGACTCCAACTCCAGAGTTGATATCCCTGATACATGAGGCCCAGTCTTTACAAAGATATATGGCACTGCCTGACATGGGCTGACACCCAGTATGCTTGCAGCTAGAGGCTACCTTTCATATGTATATATGTATACATATACGTATATATATATATACACATATGTATATATATACATATATATGGAAAGAAAGAGAAAAATTGACAGCCTTCCCTGCAAGAGCCCTTCCCTGCTTGTAAATCCCCCTCTTACCACATAACTAGTGCACAAGAGTCTCAGAAACAGTCTCTGGTCCCAAATTTTTTAGTGAAAGAAAGAAAAACAAGGACTGAACTGAGACCACATTGACCTCTAATCTAGGCACAAGCTGACCAAAGATAATCTATCATCTTCACATTCTGACAAGTGAGCATGAACTTGAGAGGAAGTGCTTGGCACGGACCAGAGAATGAACGATGGTAATTGAAAGCTCTTTGCAAGACTAGTGGATGCACCCATCCTCATAGTCACAAAACTCTCCTAGAAAGCAAAAGCAGAGGAGTTGTCCAAATATATTTTACAAAAGCAGTACTCAGTGAGTATACGCTTCTTACTGGTTACTGCTACAAGAACTGACTCTTTAAGTCCTAGCTTTAGACAAGCAGGACATTATTACAGAGGCAGAGACTGAGCTTGGAAAGATAAACCATGCAGTCCTACAGATAGTAAAGTAGAAGAGCAGATGTTCAAAGCCAGGCAGTCTGAACTCAGAGGTTTGCTCCTAATCACTGACCCATAGAACATATGTCTCAATTTTGTTAAAGAAAAAAAACAAGTCTCAATGTCCCAATCTAAGAAATCTGTTTTCAATGGAGAAGCTTAGGAGTTTGTAATTCAGAATGAAAGGATAAGATATGAATCTTTAATCATCCCTCAAATGAGACCTGGAGAGTAATCAATACCCAGAAAGTATCAGTTGTGCCTTCTCCACCCCCACCTTGATCAGGGGCTGGTTTTCACCTGATTTTATAGATGAGGCCCACGTTGTTGGTTCTGATTCGGAACACATCGACATTGGCTTTCTCAAAAGCAGACTCACTCCTGCAATGAACATGTGCACAGTTAGTGTAGACCAGCACATGGTTCACAGGACCTGGAGCAGAGCAAAGGGCTGGCATCCTCTTCCTCCTCCATCATCTCACTTCTGGAAAGTGCTACAGGCTACATGTAATGGGATCCCATTTTAAATTCCTCTCTACCGTGGCTAGAGAGGACGAGGGTAAGGGCATGGTATTATTTCTCACTCTCATATCTAAGTTTTCATATGATCCTTGCTCTGAGTCACTGAGGTAATTTCAGGCACTATTTACCCCACTATATAGCCAACTACACTGCTCATTGGTAGCCAGAGCAAGAAGTAGCCTGTGGCTCTCCAAAGGCATCATCCCACACCTGCTGGTTGCTCCAGGTTGAGAAGGTAGAGGAGGAAGGAAGGTGCATTTGGATCTTCAGCCTCTTTGTCTCTCCTCCTTTGTGAGAAGAGTTGTGACAGAAACCCCAAGTGGGTGCAGATCTTGGGTGACCCCTGGTCCTGCCATTGTGAACAAGAAGGAACAAACTCCATCCTAAACCAGCAACCAGAGAAGTGGAGGGCAGTGAAGAAAATGTACATCTGGCATCTTGAAATGGTGTAAGTAGAGGAAAGTACACCTGAAATGTTCAGCAATCCAGTACCCAGGCAAGTTGCACCTCCAGAGCACCCTAAATTCAGGCAGCATAGACAGGAGGGATGGAACCATCTTGCCTTGAAATCCTTCAATAGTAGAAGGTAAGTCTCACTTCGACAATGGCTCTGGTCCCCTGGACAGGCCAGGACTCCTGTCATTGGAGTCTGAGTCTTCTAGAACTGTCCCACTGCTGAGCTTTTGGCTTGGGAGAGCAGGCATCACCTTGTGCTCTCAGCCAGCATTCCTGGAATGGGCACACAGCTTAAAGAGAAAGAAGGACATAGAAGACAAATACCCATGGTACAGCTGAGATCTTAAATACCTCCATGTGTTCCTTAGTTCCTAGCCTTAGTGCTCTTGATGGTGGGGGCAGGTTGTAAGAGGTAGAGTATTGGGAGAGTACTTTCCTAGCAAGTGTAAGCCCCTAAGTTCTGTTCTTAGCACTGGCAAAAAAATAGGAAGCAGAACCTAAAAGAAAGAAGTTGTCACAGAGGAGTGTCTTTGAAGGGGAATTGGCACCTCACTGCTTCCTGTTTCTCTCTATACCTTCTGGTTGCCATGAGGTGAAGTAGCTCTCCCACCACAACCTCTCACCACGATGTGCTGCCTCACCACAGTGCCAAAAGCAAGAGTGCCAATACCATGGACTGAATCCTCTCTAACTGTGAAACAAAATAAACTGTTGGCTTTTTTCTCCATCCTGGTGCTTGAACTCAGAACGTGGGCACTGACCCTGAGCTTCTTTTGCTCAAGGTTAGCATTCTACCACTAATCCACATTCCCTGCCCTGTTGATGTCAGGTATTTGTTACAGCAGCATGACACTAACTAACACAGCCTATTTACTAACCATCAAAGTGTTGTTTTGGGTTGTTTGTTGTTTTTTTTAAAGAGGATGTAAGGAGCCTTTTCACCAAGGACTCAGGCTCAGTATCAGAAGTCTTTTCAGGATCTTCAGAGTCCAGAAGCTGGTATTCTGAGAATGGACTTTCTTTTGAAAAAAAAATCTGCCCTTTAGGGAGAAGTTTCCTTGAGGTGAAACACTATGGGAGAGAGCTCCAAGCCCTCCTACAGCAAAGCTGAGCCCATGCAAATGTTCACCGATGCTGTCTGGGGGAGGGGGGAAGAGACTCCAAAGGTGCAGTCTGGGTGCAAAGAAGTAAGGAGAGAGCGGTAGAACCTTCTGGGTTTGCAGGAGAGGAAATGAGGCTCCCAGGCTGTCAGCTTATGTCTGAGCTCAGAGAGATCTTTTGCAGGGAGAAGAAGGAGCCAGGGCAATGCTGGGCACACTGTCTGTACTCCTCCATTGATGTCAGAAAAAAAGTTTGGGAAAAATAAGATGTCTCCTCCAAGAAGATCCAGTCACCCTCCTTCCTGTGAAAATAAACTTTCTAGATCCAGAATTTAAAAGGGAAAGTAACTAAGTCAGCACACATTGTGGGTCTGGTTGATGAAGATATTTCACTTCCAAGGAAAAATAATAACACACCCCAAGTTTTTATATTCAGAGTTACAATGACTTAGAAAACACATGGATGTCCATCGTATGCATCAGGATTTTGTGAATGAGAAACAAAGAAATTAATAAATGGCATTTTCTTTCAATCTATAAGACAAAATAACTGATTTTTTAAAGAATACAGACAAGAGTTTCTATAAGAAATAAATACACTAAGGAATAATCACCCAGGGAGGCTCTATGCTGGAATATTTGGCAGCCATTAAAAAAAATCCTATTAAAGAATACTTGACAAAAGGAAAACAAGCTTATGATAAGGACTTAAATTTTTTTTTTTTAAAAAAAGGCTAAATGCAATCATGAACGAAATAATCAACACAAATGGGATGCCATCTTTATTTGATTTTGTTTTGGTATTTTGTTTTTGTTTTGGCCAGTCATGGAGCCTGAACTCTGGGCCTGGGCACTGTCCCTCACTCAGGGCTAGTGCTCTACCACTTGAGCCATAGCACCACTTCTGGCTTTTTCTGCTTATGTGGTGCTGAGGAATTGAACCCAGGGCCTCATGCATGCAAGGCAAGCACTCTACCACTGAGCCACCTTCCCAGCCTCATCTTTGTTTGAAAATGATAATCTGAGGGATTAATACAAAAAATATATCTAGATGATAGGACTGTGATAAAGTGCTGCTTATTTGTTATTGCCTATATTGTTTTTAAATTTTCCAAAAGGAAAACTTAACTTTTGTAATTATTTTTTTAATGCACAATGCCCCTGCTCTGCAACCCCACTGCCAGGGGCAAATATATGAGAAGGTTTGGGGATTCCTGGGCTCCATCTTTTGAGGATACAGTAAGGCTGGGAAGCAGTCATTACCAGTGAGTGAGTAGGACAAGAAGATGGCACCTGCCCTCATTTTAGCCAAAGATGAGATGTGACTTCGAAAGCAGTTCAGGGACACCTGTGAAGAGAGTTCTGGAAGGAATGCTCTGACAGCAACCTTCAGCAAAGGGAAACCTTCACCCATGCCACATTCCAGTTACCATGTGTTCATTAAATAGCCAGTCCTGGTACCTCACAATTACTCCAGTGGAGGATTGGGAGGTTTGTGGAAGCAGGGAGACCAGGGAGAAAGATCAGTAGAGCCAGCAGAGCCAGAGATGGAGGAAGCAAGCACTCCAGGCCAACTTAGGGGCCATTTGGGGGTTTTCAGGATGGTACTGGGGATGCAGCAAGCTTCCACAGTGTTTGGGAGATGGAGATCAACTTCTCTGAAAGATAGGAAATGCCCCACCCTCTTCCTGAGAGAGAAAAGGTTGCAAAGACAGCCTCTTCCTACTCCCTGCAAGCTGGGATCATCCCAAACAGGCCCCTAGCCACACCCACCTTGGTCTCATTGTGGAATGCTCATTGCTGGTAAGTCACATACAAATGCTTATAGGTCTCACAAAATTGGGTCCGGGGAGAAAATAACAAAGGGTAGAGGAAACTTTGCAAATGCAGGCTCTTCTCGTCTTGTAGAAAGCCAGGCCTTGTCGTGGCTCCTCGTCCCCAAGTTGAAGGTTAATGTCGTGCACAGCCCTGCCCATGCCCACCATGCAATGAAACAGGGTCCTCATGGAAGGCCAGCCTCTAGAGGCTGCCCCGGACATTTTAGCAACCAATCAGGCAGAGCCATTGGGCTAAAATGCCAGGCACTCTCTGACACTCTCAGGTTGTGAGTTCTCAGCAGGAAATTGTGTTCCAGAAAATACATGAGATCCCATCCGTTTGCCATATCCTGCATAGACGGCCCTCTGTTGGGGTGGCCCTGTCTAATAGGACAAGAGCGGGGATCCCAGAAGGTGGGGGCTTCCTCTGGGACCTAGTGCTGGGAGTGGGAGCTGTATCTTACTAGGAGGAGGTCTGAGTGAAGGTTCACTAATAGGAGAATCTAAGAAAATGTCGCCATCTTTGCTGCCTAGGAGTGGGTCAAGTGGGTGCCAAGCCCACCAGAAAGGCCATAAAAATCAACATTTTAAAAAACTTTTGTGCCTGTACTGGGGCTTGAAATCAGGACCTGGCACTCTTGCTTAGCTTTTTCACTCAAGGTTGAAGCTCTGCTACTTGAGGCACAGTTCCATGTCTGGCTTTTTGTTGTTTAACTGAAGGTAAAGAGTCTCACAGACTTTTCTGCCCAAGCTGGTTTCAGACCATGCTCTTCAGATCTCAGCCTCCTGAATAGCTAGGATTCCAGGCATGAGCCACCAGTGCCTAGCTGGCAGTCAGCATTTTAATATTAGACACCAGAGTTCTTCTTGAAATAGCAATTATGCTATATTAAGAAAAACATCCTGCTAAGCCATTTGGAAGTAGAAGGTGAAATCCTGTAGCAGCCCAGAAAATGAAGTACAGAAATGAACAAGAGACACAGCTAGAGGCGGCAAAGTAAAGGTTAGGAAAATTCCAAGATATGCAGGGGCTGAATTTGAAGATGAGGGATCTAATATTCCATCCTAAGCCATTGATACTGCTAAGTGTGAACTTTCTAGGGCCTAAAGCTATCAGCCATGTCTGTTACACACAAAAATGTGGGGTGGAGGCTTTATCTAACACATGGTTTGGATTTGGGGTGGGATTGTGTGTGAGAAGAGGGAACAGTGGACAGTAAGGTATGAGAAGATTGTGGACCCCAGGAACAGGGTGGAGGTGGCACAGGCCTGAACTGCATCTGTGTCTCATAGCAAAGTGACTTCAGTTGCCACCTATGTCTGAGTTGCTTGAGCAACCTGAATCCCTACAAAGCAGTGTTCTCCTGCCAGACCCAGAATTTCCATATCCTGATCTGAAGCACTCTCAGATGAGGCCACGGGACTCGGGCTCCTCCTTCTACATCTGTAGTGCCCACTACAGTCATCTGACTGATCTTGGCCATCA